CTCCGCCCCCACCCCCGCCTCCCCGGCCGCCGCTGCCGCGCTGACGTCATCTGACATCAGCGCCGCCGGCACGACCAGCGTCGCGCGCTCGCCCTGCGCCATCGTCGCGAGCGCCTGCTCCAGTCCGGCCGGCAGCGCGCCCGCGCCGAGCGGCAGCGACAGCGGCGCGGCGGGCGCAAAGTACGCGGCGCCCTCCCCCAGTGCGCCGTCGGCCGCGGGCGTCGAGGCGCGCAGCAAGAAGGTGACCTCGTTTGGGGGCCGCGCCATCTCCCAGTGGTCTGACTCGCGTTTGACTACTTTGAAAATGTCATCCGAGTCGCCAGTGGCGCGGACCTGTTGATTTTGGAGGCCGCGGGGCGCGCTGGTCGGCGTCCGGTTTTGCGGGGCGGGCGAGCAGCAGGCCACGAGCAGCGGCGGCCCAAGCGCAGGGCGCGTGTCTCGCGCGGTGGGGTCGAGGCTGGCCGCATCATAGTTGATTCCCATGGGCTACACGCTTGCTGGCTGGGCAACACCCACGCCAGGGCTGCTAGACATGCGCCCTGGACTGGGATGCATGCACCCTCGCGGCGCCAGCCAGAAACACGGGCCCTGCCCCCCCCGCCGGGCACCTTGTCCGCCGGCACCCAGTCCAGCAGCTGGATGTCGAAGGACAGCGGCTGGTTGCAGTCCACGCCCTTGGGCGGCGCCATGCGGCAGTCCGGGTGGGAGAAGCCGTAGGCCGGCCCCACGCGCACCACCTTGCGGGCCCCGCGGGCCATGCCTGATTTCAAGGGGGTGGGGCGGAATGGGGGCGCCTGGGTTCAGGGTGCGGAATCATCCTGCACTCAGCTTGATCGGTTGGCACCTAGGGTGCCGGCCTGGGTGGGTGTATTGCGGCCGCTGTCAAGTCGGAGTGTCTGGCTCCCACAAGCCTGCAGCGTCAAGGCGTGTGCTGCCGGCGGACACGCTTTGTGACCATGCGCCCCCGCCGCTCCCGCTCGCGCCAGCCTGCCAGCCAGCCGCCCGGCGCGCACCCTGCAGCGCCAGCTCCCAGCCGCGTGGTGCGCGCCGCCCCTTGCCGATGAGGAAGGCAAGGGGGTACCCGGCGCCCCCCTCGCCGCGGCGCGTGGTGTATAGCAGCGCGTTGCTGGCGGAGCGGACCGAGTAATGTATGTAAACCTGTGGTTTTGCATGGGGCGGCAAGGTCGACAAAAAAGTTGTTGACAATCGTGTCAGGCGCAGGCGCTGCGTTCGAGGGACCGGCCGGGTGGACAGAGCCGCTGCACGCCGGACTTGCTGCCCGGCAGTTCCGTGGACGTTGCAGGAGGCTGCAGCTGCAAAGAAGCTGCCCCGCAGCGTCGCGGACCCGCCCGAGCAGCAGTGGCAGCGTTGGTGGCGGGCGCGGGCGGCGCCTGCGATGCTGCTCTTGTTGACACGCGAAAGATGGCGGCTGTTTTGCAGCAGCCATGTGGCAGCGCACCATATCGCCCTCCTTTGGGGGCGGGCCTCCCTCCCCCTCCGCCACCACCGAGTACATGACAGCCCCAGCAGCCAGGTCCTGCTCCTCCCTTGAATTTCATGAACAGAGCATTCATGAGCGCGGGCAGAGGGGCAGAGATGCGCACATTGCAGTGCTGGGCGGTTGCAGCAGGTTATTTGGTTGGGCCTGCATCGGCTGCGCCTCGCGCGGCGCATAATCATGTGCGTCCATTGATCCAGGCGTCCCACAGCGCTGCGGCTGCTCTGATCATTAGCTGAGAATCCTGACATGCCATACCACACTCGCCTGATTCTTTTGTCCTGCTTCTGGCGTTCAGGCTTGAGTTCGGGCTCGATAGGCACCTCCTCTGGCGTCGACCTCAGCTGTTGCAAGTATTTTTTGAGGTCTGCCATTGCGCTCAAGGAGAACTTGCGCAGCTCAGGGCTCGCCAATGGTGAGCAATTGACACTTTCAGTTGGCGATCTATACGATTTATAGAGCAGGCTCGGAAATGTTCAGTGAGAATATTAAACCAGGTGTTGGTGTCTGACGCCCTTTGTTGTATGGCACGGCGTCGGCCCAGGATTGAGCCGTCCACATGCGGTTGTCCGGTGTGTGCCCGGGTGTGTGCTGTGACAGTGAGCGTGTTCAAGTATCATCCCAGCCTGTGCCCCCTACTATGATCGTGACAACAAGATTTAGAGATCTCGTCGCTGTTCAACTTCCTATGAAGATGCGCTCAATGGAAATGCATGCCGTCACCTAAGCACAAGACCAGTGCTTTGCAATGATGGCTGTCGAGTGTTGTCACTGCACAGCTCTACACGTTGGTCGCGGGCCCCACCAGAATGTCCTGATGCACACATCCACATCCACGTTATAACAATCCAGACACCCTGAACTTAATTTGTGCCACCACTGCGTGGCAAAAATGCTCACCTGCCCCATCAAAGTTCCCCCATGGGTAGGGTATGCCCACGTGTCAGCATCTTTATGAAAGGTATGGCCACTTAGCTGCAACACTCTTTGATCAGGCCCTGTCCGTACTATGCATGTGGCGCATTTCCAGGGGCTGCTGGTACTACCCACTAGTCTGCTCTGCCGTGTTGATTCGGGCATGGGGCTGCGCCTGTCATTTGTGCGTCCTATGTTGCCGCTACAGCTTTGAAAGACCCACTCACAACAAACAACTTGGGGAGTTCAAGAATGAACAGCATGAGTGTTACCCATTGATGTTTACATGAAAGTGTGACCATCCTGCAAGGGACATTCTTGAAGGCAATATCTGCCTGTCAGTATGCGCGCTGCGCTGTGCTTGCTGCTGCTTGCTGTTACTACCTCCAGAGCAATGTGATCCATGCCTGGCTAGCTGTCGGTACTGCGGGGCACTGCTGAGGGGAGCAAGGGTCTGCTGCAATGCCATTGGGGCACGAAGACCTGGAGCCCAACAAACTCAGGCGTGAGGCGCGTGCGTGGGGCCAGACGTGTGCCAAAGGCACCCGGCACGTCAATAAACACGCTGCACCAACATGATCGGGAGCAACACCAGTGGCTTTGCACCTGCAAGGATGCAACCTGGCACCTTCCTCATTTGCCAAAGGTGCGCATCAGATCGCCGGCTTCGCCGATCTGGAGCGTGCCGTCGCCCGCCAGGCGCGGCTGCGCGGTGTATAGTGCCTCGTACTGCAGGTAGCGCGCAGTGCGCAGGTGGGGCAGCAGCTGCTTCATGACGCAGAAGCAGGCGTCCTTGGCCGCCTTCTGCTGCGTCACGCCCGCGGCGCGCATGTGCACCAGCTTCCCCTGAGTGGTGACGGCGTTGTCAAAGAGTGTGGGTGGGTGGGTGGGTGGGTCGGTGGGTGGGTGGCTGGGTGGCTGGGTGGCTGGGTGTGTGAGTGGACGCCTGATCGCGTACAGACGGCTACACACCATGCACACGCAGCGATAGGACCGAGCGCAAGTTTGTGTGCGTCAACGGCATGCACGACATGCGGCATTCACCCATGACCAGCACACAGCTCGCTGCACGTCCCGCTCACCAGCAGGTCTGTTGCGGACGCGGTTGCCACGTAGATCTTGGCCTTTGGGTGGTTCGCGTAGATGATAAGGCTCGGTGCGCTGGGCTTGCCCTTGAGCGCGATTGGCCCGCGGCCCTTGCACTCCGATACCTTCACGGTGCACGACTGCGAGAGCAGCCGCTCGATGGCGTGTCGGATGGTTCGCGCGTCGGCCTCTGCGCCTGTGGTGAAGATCTCCTCGTGGAAGGTGACGGGGCACGGCGTCAGCCCCTGCTGCAACCGCAGGAGCCCAAGCGCGACGTCGGGCTCCGCGGCGTCCTCACAGGTGGTGCCAAGCGCTTGCGCCTCCAGAATTGCTGTCTCGACGTCTCGCTTGTAATCAGGGCGGCCCAAGGCAGCCTTCCGGCCTGACCCCAGGCCGCTGGCGCCCGCGCCCAGGGGCCCTGGCGCGCTCCCAGCTGCAGGGCCCGCCGCCGCAGCCGCGACCACGATGGAATCCGCCACGTCGCCCGATTCGCTGTCCTCGGCGCCGTTGTCGTCGCCGCCGCCAAGCGTGTCGTCGATGGATGCCTGCCCAACCGCCGGCTCTGCCTCGTCGGTGTCTGCAGCGCCGCCGTGGACCCCGGCCGAGCGGCCGCGGCGCGCCCTCTTGCCGCTCGAGGGTGGCGCGCCGCCATCGGACGCTTGGGCGTCGTCTGCCGCGGCAGCAGCAGCCTCAGCCGCTGCCGCCGCAGCGACCTCGGCCGCACCCGTTTGGCGTGCTGAAGGCGTCGAGTGGGCCCGCTTCTGCTTCCCGCGCGCCGTTTGCGGCCTCGCAGCGCCGGCAGCGTCATTGGCAGCCGTTGCCGGTTTGTGGCCCGTCGGCTTGGGTGCATCATGGCCCCGGCGCGCTGGGCTGTTGGGCCCCGCGCCAGCAGCGATCACAGCAGCAGCAGGCACCAGCAACGCCGGCGCAGCAGCAGCCGTGTTGTGCGGGGCAGCGCCGGCCTGCGCCGCCGGCGCAGCCGGGGCCGGCTGCGCCGCAGCGGCCACCTGCTCTATTGGGACAGCCGCGGCTGCGGGCTGCGGCGCAGCGCCTGGGACGAGCACCTCCTGTGCGGCAGGGCCCAAGGACTGAACCGCAAGCAGGCGCGCCTGCGTGGCGTGCCCGTGAGCTGCCAGAAGGGCGATTGGCACGACAGCGCCGGCGTGGTACGGGGCGGCGCCGCCCGCGGCGTCTGGCATCGCCTTCGCGAGGATCGTGCCCATCCCTTCAAATACGCCCATGGGGACGTCCATCATCCCCATCCCCTTGATCCGGTCGCCGCTCAGAACGGCGCGCAGGCAGCAGCCACCATGCTTGATGGCGCCCGCGAGCTTAGTCGCGGCCTCGGCAAAGCTCATCCCCCTCCCACCAGCGTCGTCGCCGGCGAGGCCTTGATCAGCAGCGGCCGCAACATACGAGCCGCGCCGCTGCAGCTCCTGCACACAGCTTTCGCCCAGCAGGCCCAGCCCTATGAGCGCGTGTGCCCCGCTGCATGCGCTGAGCATCTGGCAGTACGCCGACGCGACGTCCGGCACCCCGCCGAGCGCGCGCAGCATACTTGCACCGCATTGGTAAAGGCCCTGCGCCGCCGCCGCAAGGTCGAGCTCGGCGATGGCCTCTCCATCTTCGTCGTGGACATGGACATGCGGCACCAGGAGTCGCGCCACTGCGGCAACGCCGAGGCTCTCCTGGGGCCCAAATGGCCGTGGTGCGCCAGTCGCCACGGGAATCTCGTTCGCCCTAGGTGCCTACGAGGTTGTCAACAACGAAGGAGGGATGAAGGGCGGCAAGTGTGAAAGCGGTTTACCGCACGACGCTTGAGTGTCGTGCAAATCTTGGCGAAGCAACAGGCACCGTACAAGAATGAAGATGCTTCCCGTAGATACAGATACTGCATGCCCGCTGACTGACAATGCCACTGAGCGTCACCAGTCCGCCTGCATACGGTACGCCGCAGTGCATCCTGATAATGAGATAAGAAGTTCAATTCTTGATGGCTTCATGAGCCTGGATGGCTCTAGAAGTGGGCGACCGCTGGACCTATAAATGTTTGGATTTCATGCCTGCACGGTTTTCCCGCGCCGCACCTGCCCGGTGCTCAGCATCTTTTGCATTGTGCCAACCACCACCAGCGCAGTCCCGCTGACTCGGTCGATGGGCTCCACGCCTCTGAGATTCGCCTCAAACCTGTCAAGGCTGCCGCAGCCCATGATGCAGTCTGTGTTGTATGCAATGGCATACTGCACTAACTCCGGCAGCTGGTCCTGCACGCCCTGGAGGGGCAGGGCGGCGCGGTCCGCGAATGGGCACAGGTCTCCAGCGATAAAATCTAGCAGAGCCCTGATCCTGGAGTCTGTGATGGGTTTGAGTCAATAGGGGACAAGCGTGTGGGTGGGCGATGGCCAGCACCCAATGGGGCTACGACTGCGTGGCGAGGAGAGGGATTAGCCTAATCCCTCAAAACCCTGAGGGTTCCCGCATAGGCCGATTGGGAGATGACCGTGCCGTGCACACTTGCCGCCTTGCAAGCAAACGCCCCTCCCAAGCAATGCGTATCCCTTTGGCAAGTGCCGCAGAGCTGTGTGTCAAGCCTTGGCAAGCAGCGCAAGCAAGCTGCATGCATGTGCTGCTCTGCAAGACGCACGCACCTTGCTGCTGTTCCGTGTAGGCTGTAAAGGTTTCGGGCCAGACCAGCGAGGCCGAAAGCACCAGGGCCAGGCAGATCATGTCGTCTTGGCCTGCAGGGGACGGTGGGCATGCCGCCAAGTGACTTGGGTGAGCAGTGGATGTTGCTGCCAGTTCGGCTGGGCTGCTTTTCCGTGCCCGCATTGGTGAGCCTTTTACAAGCTTGTGCAAGCAAAGTGTTGAGGTCAAGACTGCAGTAAGGAAACCGTTCTCGCTGCGTCCCAGCAATGACCACTGCAAAGGGCGACCACACCCATGCCTGACGCAGCTCCTTCTTTGAAAAGGCACAGGGGCCACTGCCACAAGTGCGCAAAAGGGGCGTCACCTGCATTCGTGCCGGCCCGCAGACTCACTTGAACTCAAGCAAAACACCACGTGAAGCTGTGGCAACGAAGGGCTTGGGGGTGGCTGCTGCTGCTGTTGTGGCGGGCCGCTGCGCCGCTGCGCGCAGGTGCGCAGGCCAGCGCTCTTGCGCCGCCGGCTGTGGTCCAGCAGAAGTGAGACCAGCTCGGGCAGGTCCCCCCTCACATGGCGTAATATGCCGCCGCCTGCAGGGATTAGCATAAGAAGAAGCACACAGGGGGATTTTTATGGTAAGTCTGAGTGTCAGTGATGCTTGTAAACGTTGCAGGGAGGCGCTTCTCTCCCACGTTTGCACATACATCAACTGCAAGTCAGTGGCACCCTCCCCTGACCGGTCCCCACTGCCCCTCCGCGCAAACCCCGCAAGTTCTCAAGCGCACCTGTCGCCCGGGCTACTGCAGGCGCAGGCGCCGCCATAAACCCAGTGGCGAGCGTGCAGGTGAGGATGGTTTGTGCAATCGCTGCACCACCACTGCGCCATGTGTTTTGCAGCGCGTCCAACTTGGCCAGCGCCTCGCTTGGATGGCTTGCGCAAGTCTCTATGGATCCTATCATATCCCCAGCTCTCCGCTCGATCCACGCCATAGCTGAGTTCTGCTCAACTCGTCCGCGAAGTGAAGGTCAAATAATTGACTTGTTTTGCCGAGCGCAAGAGTGAATCGAGCGCTGCACTTCTCACATCTCAGAAAGAACGAACACGAGAGGGCACGAGCATGCAATCGCGGCTCTGAAATATCGCCCACTGCAGATTGCCCGTCAACTAGTACTGTACCACCGTATGAATTGACAATCAACTCAATGTAGCTCTACTATGCATTTTCTTATTTATAACGACGTGCAGGGCAGCTTCGCGCAAAGCCGCCCATTTCGCCTTGTGCGCTGTCGGTGTGCACAGCTTGCGCACGCGCAGGACGGCTGGTGTGCGCCCAACACACTCATGCACAAGCGTGGAAGAGACGCGCCGCCGGCTGGGGTGAGAGGCTCTGCACCAGAAATGCTGCCAGGGTATGCATATTGCTGCCTGCGCGATGCCATCAAAGTCCATGTCGTCGAGACGATGGAGACGCTCCAGGACATAATAACTGCCCACAGGGCACAGTCACAGCTGCGTAACGGAAGAGTCGCCCACAGCGCCGCCTACACCACCAATCGCCAGCAGCGGCACCAGAAGGCACAGGCCAAGGCAGACGACACACGACGAGTTACTGCTGCCATTCACTCATCACAATCAAAACCCAAGGGTGGATGACGACTGAGCAGTGCCTCAGACCCGCATTGCACGTTGTGCGAACAAAGAAGTGTAGTGTAGGGGAGTAGTCAGCTAGTCACCATATTTACTGAACAATCCCTATACTGTAGCAGCTGTGACCACTTTGTCGATACCTCAGCCCGCATCTAAGGGTGTGCTGTTGCTGGCCCCGGGTCAGATAAATCACATGCAATTGAAAACCAGTCATCTGTGCACATATACAAGCAAGCCTCATGATGCACAAGGCACCAGCCAGGATGACACAATGCCGCTGGATAGCGACCCTGTCTACAGGCGTGTGTCCAGGAGTGGCTATGCGGCCAAATCTGGGCCGAATGTCCTATCTACACCAGCCATGTAAGCAGCTGCTCTAGAGAATACAAAACCAACTATGTACAATGTGAATTGCGTGATCATGATGCAGTTTGTCAAGACCGCCACGTTTGTGCAGCATACTTTGGCTCACAAGGCGGGACCGCCACCGCCTCTGTGCAGATGCATGGTAAGATGCTTACATACTTGGAAGCGGTCATGCAAGCGCTCTGCACCGGCCGGCAATTCACGCTGTCAACTCTGGGGTCGGCGATACCTGCACGTAGTGCAGCACTGCAGCGTGGCGCGGCTGGCTGAGGCGCTGCTGTTGCTGCTGATGTCGCTGCTGCTGCTGCTGATGCTGCTGCTGATGCTGCTGCTATCACTGCAACAACAGGGGTTTTCCTTATTCTTTCCTTAAGGAAAGGATAAAGACCCCCAAGCTGGGGGGTCTGCTGAAAGGAGCTGTAAGGGAGGGGTAAGGATTATCTGAGGACTTGTGTCGTCCTGCTGGGTCGCAAGCTAACGAGAGATAAGGAGCTCGAGGGGCCACTTGAAGGAACGATTAGGGAATCTTGCCACGCTTCCTGGCCACATGCCGCAGCATTGATGCCCGCTGCTTGGGCCGGCAGGGGTACCTTCGTGGGTGATTTTGTAGATTACACATGAGGCTTGCCGTAATGGTGGCCCCTTGGCGTGATGCGTGTGTGCAGGGGGTAATGACGGTGGCGCGCGGGGCGGGCGGGGCGCGCGGGGCGGGGCGCGCTGCGGGCGTAAGGGGCCGCACAGGCGGCCGCACCGCATGCAGGTAAGGCGGGGCTGTGCACGCGCAGAGATACATGTGGCGCGAGACGTCGAAGGGTTGAAATCAGCACAAAGCAAACAGCAACAACACAGCCGTGGACCCGCAGGCGCGTGCCCACGTATACAAACGCACATGCGCGTGCACAGAATGGCAGCTGCTGATTGCATCGTGACTACCCCCTGCGGTCGCTGCAGTGCCCCCGTCCGCTTGCACCCGCACCCGCACCTGCGCTGCTGCTGGGCGCCGGGGGGCCACCGCCGCGCCGCTCGCCCCGACGCTGCTGCTGCTGCTGCTGCTGCTGAGTGACGCCGGCGCCGCGGCCTCGCCGCTGCGGTACCCCGTGCTGTTGGGCGCCCACGGCCTGGGCAGTTTTGATCATTTATACCTACAGGGGAAGCGGGGTGCCTGATTAGGTTGGGACGCACGCACAGGCGTTGTCCGCTGGCGCCGGTGCATGCTCAGGCTGCGTGCTACACGTCTGCGCCTGGGAGCGCCCAGGCACGCTGCGCCACCCAGCTGCTGCGGCTGCTGCGGCTGCTGCGGCTCGCTGCTGCTGCCGTCGGCGACGTTCGTGCTCTTCACTAATTATTGGCCAGCATGTTATTTAAGTCAAAAAATCTCGTCCTTACAGGCGTTTGCTTTGGAAGGGCACACTCTTCACACATGGCATACATGCAAAGTTTGCGGCAGTCAGCATCTTCTCAGCAGAATGAGTATGTGGCTGATCACTTGCTTTCGTAGAACTGGCGTGCTCAAACGGGCGCCACGCAGCCTGCCGCCCCCGGCCGCCGCCGGCAGCCTGCGGCCGGCGCGTGCGTGCGTGTTGGCCGCCGAGGCCCGGCTCCATTGCAGGGGTCGCACGGCCCCAGCTGCCAGCGACGAGCCCGTGCACCGCGCACCAATGACCCCGACCCTGCACCCTCCCGGCGCCCAGCAGCCGGCCGAAAATAGACCGGCCCCCTGCAGCGTCCTTGCACCGAGCGCGCCGGGGGCGGCAGGCGCGCACTGGCTGCCCGCTCCCCCAAGCGGGCGCCGCGCAGCCCGCCGCCCCCGGCCGCCGCCGGCAGCCTGCGGGGTGCAGCGGCCGGCGCGTGTGTGTCGGCCGGCTACGCATGTCAAGCCTGCGCATCGGGCCCTGCGCGCGGTGGCCCGCCCCTAAACCCTCGCGGCCACCACCGGCCAGCGCCCCGCCCACAGCCCGACCCCCTCCCTTGGTCGCCCACCCACCTGCAGGCCTCGGGCCCAGGACGCCACACTGGCTTTGACGGCGCCTGCCCTGGGGCATCGTCGCCGCCGCCGCCACGAGGGGTAATGATGAGCACGGTCCACGCCACTTTGGCGGCCGCGCCGCGCCGCGCCGGGGCAGCGGCAGCGGCGAGGCCGCCTCGGCTGGCGTGGGCCCCGGCAAAAGGGTGGAGCGCGGCAGCCGAAGCACTCTCAAGCTCTCCACCTTCCCGCAAACCGGGCGAACCCGGGAGCAGTTCACCAGGGGGACGCCACCGCCTGGGGCCGGCCCAGCATGCACGCGCACGCGCCGCTGCGGAAATAGACCGGTCCCTGCAGCGCCCTTGCACCGAGCGCGCCGGGGGCGGCAGGCGCGCCTGGCTGCCCGCTCCCCCAAGCGGGCGCCGCGCAGCCCGCCGCCCCCGGCCGCCGCCGGCAGCCTGCGGGGTGCAGCGGCCGGCGCGTGTGTGTCGGCCGCAGATGCCCGGCTCCACTGCAGGGGGTAGGACGGCCCCAGCTGCGAGCGTCGAGCCCGCGCACCGCGCACCAATGACCCCGACCCTGCGCCTTCCCGGCGCCCAGCAGCCGGCCGCGCCCACCCGCCAGCGCCCCCTGCCCTCGCCCGACCCCCTCCCTTGGTTGCCCACCCACCTGCAGGCCTCGGGCCCAGGACGCCACACTGGCTTTGACGGCGCCTGCCCTGGGGCATCGTCGCCGCCGCCGCCACGAGGGGTAATGATGAGCACGGTCCACGCCACTTTGGCGGCCGCGCCGCGCCGCGCCGGGGCAGCGGCAGCGGCGAGGCCGCCTCGGCTGGCGTGGGCCCCGGCAAAAGGGTGGAGCGAGGCAGCCGTCAAGCAGCACTCTCCCCCCTCCACCTTCCCGCAAACCGGGCGAACCCGGGAGCAGTTCACCAGGGGGACGCCACCGCTTGGGGCCGGCCCAGCATGCACGCGCACGCGCCGCTGCGGAAATAGACCGGCCCCTTGCAGCGCCCTTGCACCGAGCGCGCCGGGGGCGGCAGGCGCGCACTGGCTGCCCGCTCCCCCAAGCGGGCGCCGCGCAGCCCGCCGCCCCCGGCGCTGTGGCCTGTTCGGGGCGATTGTGCAGGCATGGATCACAACGTGAATCTCTGGCAATGCTTTTTTTGCCAACAGTCGCAGTGCTCTGCGGCACATGCAGCACAAGCAGGAAGCAGCCCCCCGCTTGGCGGCAGGTACACATGCAACTGCGCCCGGATGCCGCGTTGTGCGCCTCGCTGCTCTATCCAATGGATGTTAGTCCCTTCGAATTACATATGCAACGCACCTTCGCCTGGAGGGCTGCACCCACAACAATGCCCTGAACACGCATGCCATGCACGCCATGACGTGGGCAAGGCCGCCGCTGTTAAATGCACGAATATATCTGCTAATTTCTGTCAAGCAATGCCCGTTTCTCCCGGTTTCGATGGGATGCACCGTGCGCAAGTGCTGTTTTCATAACATTGTTCGGGCACGCAGCGTTCAGTAAGTACGCAGAAGCAATACCTCAACGGATTTTTCAAAAGCAAACATGAAGTATGATGAGGTCGATCTGACACAGGCGATGTCTGGGTCAATGATGAGTCAATCTGCCCACCTAGTGACAAGTTATCCATGGCGGTAGCTGCGGCGAACAGGAGGAAGCTGTAGATTTATCAAAATTTTTGCAGGGTGCTGCCACATCCACCTGCGTGCCTGGCCAGGCGTTAAGTCGGCACCACTAGGTGCACGAAGTCGCGCTAACTCATGCAAAACACCGCCTGCTTGACAAATCGCAGTGATGGTTAACCACATGACTCTAATGAAGGCTAGGGGTAACGCATGTAATTCAACCAGCCTGCTCTCCATACCCGAAGAGCCCTGCACCCTCTGCTGTCGACCTGTGTCCACTTGTGCCACAGTGTTGTCACGGGGCGGTAGCAAACGCCGACATGCGGTACGCGCAAACATTGAATTACGTTACATTACATCACACTTTTCCAGCAGCGAGGGGAGAAACCCTGGCTCTCCAAAGGGGTAACGCCTCTAACTGTAAAGGCCAGAGGACAAAGTGGGTGCGGCCAATTCGGGAATTAGCAACAGGGGCGTGCGCCTCCTTGGCAGGAGATCGAAGCAAGCCTTCTTCCACGCAGGGCGATTAGGGCAGCGGTCGTCTTGGCGAACGGGGGCGTCAAGACCTATGGCAGCACAGTTTTGCCTCACTAGATCAAACCATGACACACGCGGCCGCCCCACAGCGCGCGGGCCAGGGGCGGCGCTCCAAAACGTAAACTGGCGCTTTTCGGGCTGGCAGACGAGTGTGGTTCACGCGCATAGTATGACCCAGTTGACACGCAATGTGCGCAGAATAAATGCGGCGCATGCCGCAGCACGCGTGACCGCGAGACGCACGGCGTCGCAAAGCGGCGGCATGGCAAGCAGCACATGACGCGATTACACTAGTCCAAGCCACTGTGCCGTTGCGGCGGCAAATTACATGATGAATGCGCTTCAGTCACCCAGTTGATGTACGTTGTACTCAATGGAGATCCCCTTGCGACGCTCTCACACTCTCACCTGCCCGGTCACCCTTGGCACGTATGGTGGTGAGCACCTGAGAGAGAGCTGCGTGTGTCATCGATCTATTCGTCTGGCCTCGCCCACTTTGATACGCCCAGCCCGCCGCACGCGTGCGCCTGCCTAGGTGCAACAAGTGGCAACCTGGGCGCAGTTCCCTTAAGAAGGGGGGAACCTTGGGTTTTGGCTGCTGAAACCACCGGCACACTGCTGTTGGCTTGGAGCATGCCATTTGCCTCAATGCACCCTGTCAGATACGGCACCGTACGATAAACTGTGGCATGGTGTTCGATATTTATGAGGATACGGATACTGCACCCATCGTATCAGATCAGTTGTTCAACTCCTTGCATCATCAGATTGTCGAGGATAGCCACGTCGTGCGATCCGCTGTTTATCAGTCATCTTGATTAGCAGCTGGTTTGCGCAGGCTTGGCGCCAGTGATCTGCTGATCGAGCAAGTGTTACAGGGGAGCAGCCAACATGGCTGCTTTCAGCTTTGGCCAGGTATGATTTTGCGTGTATACAAATCAACAATCCTGAGCCGGTATGACACGTGCAGCAGCAGAAGCCGGGTTGCCTTGATGGTGCCACCCTTGTGCTGTAGTTGAGTAGTGAGCGCCGCCGAAGCTGATGGCGGCAAGTGTCGCACCCGTTATCTGCACTCCCTCCTACTCCGCGGCACCAATGATACAACATACGCAGGCAGGCAGCACACCCGCGTTTGGCGCGCCCAGCAGCACACCCGCCTTCGGCGCGCCGGCGGCGAGCAGCGGCGGGTTCAGCTTCGGCGGCGGCGCTGCGCCCGCATTTGGCGCCCCCGCAGCCAGCAGCGGCGGCTTCAGCTTCGGCGGCGCCTCGACGCCTGCGTTTGGCGCGCCTGCGGCGTCGTCCGCCGGCGGCAGCCTGTTTGGCGGCTCGGCGCCCGCCTTCGGCGCGAGCGGCGGCTTTGGGGCGCCAGCTGCGACCAGCTCGCCTTTCGGCGGCTCCCTCTTCGGCACCCCCACCACGGCGCTCACCCAAGCCGGACCATCCCTCGGAATCTTCGGCCAGCCCCCCACCCAGACCGGCGCTGCCGCGAGCATCTTCGGCGCCGCGGCGGCGGCCGCGCCGCAGCAGCAGCCCGCGGCCGCCCAGTTTGCGCCCGTCGCGCTCTCGAGCGGCGCCGCCGGCGCTGCCGGCGCCGCCGGCGGCGCGGACGCCGCGCGGGAGCTGCAGGAGATCGCAAACTGCTACAGTCCCGGCCACAGCAGCTTCAAGTTCAGCCACCTCTTCTTGAACGTGGTTCGGCCGGAGCAGCGGGTGCGGCCGCAGGGCGTGGACGAACTGAGCTGGAAGCAGGCCATCAAGGAGGCGGGCGGGGAGGACAACCCGGAGGGGTGCGTGCGGGCGTTCAGCGGGGGCATGGTCGGCATGGCACGGGACTGTAGCAGTCTCGCGTGATGTCCCTCGTATCATCGCGGTCATCGCAGCTGCCGCTATGTTGTGCCCCAACGAATGTGGTGCTGCACAAGCTCGGAGCCCGACGCACCCGCTGGGCCATCTTCCTCTCCCCCTTGCCCCGCGCCCTGGCGCCCCGCAGGCTGTGGCCAACGCTGGCCAGTGGGTTTGGTGACCTGCTGAAACGCGCGCAGGTGCAGGCGGCCACGATGGACGAGAACAAGCAGCGGGTGAGAGGCCGGCGGGCCGGGGCGTGCGCGCATGCGGGGCGCGTGCGTGCGGGGCGTGCGTGTGCGGCTTGACCCACATGCGTGAGCGCCTGCATGCATGTTTTGTCTGGAAGTGCGCGTTGGAAGGCGGGCGCGTGCGCGAGTGCGTGCATTTATGTGTGTGGGTTCACGCGCATGGAGGGAGGTTGAGTGATCAGCAGCTTTGCCTCCATTCCACTGCCGCCCACATCCGCTCCTTGCAACATCCCCACACAACCCCCGCCTTGCCGCCGGCACTCCTTGCCTGCGGGCGCCTCCAGAGCTGCGCCCGGCCCTTCTTTATTCATGCACCCATCGTCCAAACAAATCTCACCGCACCGCACTCCCCCAGCTGTCTGAGCTGCGGGACCTGGCCCACAAGCTGGCGCGGCGGCAGGAGACAGACATCGGGGGCCGCGTGCGCTCCCTCATGGTGACAGCGGAGGCCGTCTGTGTGCGCCCCGCGCCGCGGAAGCGGGTCGGGCCGGGCACCGGGCCGCCGGGGCGCGTCCAGTAGGGGCCGGGCAAGAGTCCTATCGTGGACGGGAGCGGCTGCTTCACGGCGTGCGAGCGAGCGGGCTGCAGTGGCGGCGCACAGGCAGCAAGCTCGGCGCGTTTCCAGAAGAGGTGCCCCTTCGTTCATCAGCGCTCTCTCCCTGCCCAGCCCCCGCATATCTGACCTCCTCTTGCCCGCCCACCCATGTCCCCCACAGGAGCGCCACACCGCGCTGACTCAGCGGCTGCTGAGCATAGCGCGCAGCGTGGACGGGCTCGAGGGGCGGCTGGCGATGTACATGGGCGTCAGGTGGGGGCAGGCTGACAGGGGCGGGCTGACAGGGGCGGGCTGACAGGTAAGGCCGCCCACCTGCCAGCGGCCGCATACTTGTTTGCGGCGATCTGCAGCTGCAGGGAAGCTGCGTCACGGGAGGCTGTGTGCTCGGCGGCGCCGCGTGCCTGCTGCCGTCGAGCCGCCGCCGCGTCCAGTTCGGTGCGGTTGGCTGCCACGCGTGCGTTCGCGGCGCGGCGCGCCGACGGCGCCCGTCCCGCCGCCCCTGTCATGGCTGCCGCCACGCCGCAGGGGCGATGTCTCGCGGGAGCGGGAGGCGGCGATCGCGCGGACGATGGACGGGGTGGAGGGGGAGCTGTCACTCGCGGCGGCAGGCGGGCTGCAGGTGGGGCCGCCTGCCCCCAATCCGTTTGCTGTTGAGGATGTCAGCTGTTGTGGGGCCGCAGGCTATTCATCCGTTCATGTTCGGGTCAAGAGGCAGCGTGTCACCCACGGCGAGGTTGCAGAACCCTGGTGTGCACAATGCTGCGAGATCTGCGCTGCGAACATGAATGCAGCGACGGGGCGGCCGCCGCATATCAAGCCTTCCCAGCCGCAAGCACTGTCCACTCCGCGTGCGAACACCAACCCCCGCACCCGCGCGTGCGCCCCGCCCCCGCCCTCAGCGCCGCGCGGACGTGGTGGCGGCGGCGGTGCGCCTGAGGGCGTCGGGCGGCGCGGTCAACGGCGGCGGCGGCGGCGGCGGCGGGGACGGCGGCGGCAGCCAGGCGTTGGACGAGGCCAGCATGGGTCAGCTGTTTGCGGTGCTGAAGGACCACGCGGACGCGCTGCAGCGGCTGCAGGAGGTGCTGCGCAGGTGGGGCTGGAGGGGTTGGGTGTGTGCACGTGTGAGCGCGTGGGTGACGGCAACAGAGTGTGTCCGGGCAAGTGTTGTGGTGTGTGCGTGTGTGTGCGCACGCATGCCCGTGTGTTGAGTGTGCAAGTAACTTTCGTGAATCTGTTGTTTTGGGGGCCTCATTGAGCGCGCAGCCTTAGCCAGCATCCGCTGCGGGTCTGGGCAGCCCTGGCGGCCGTGCTGCCCCCCCCCCCCCACAC